CTCAAGAGTAGGTTTTTTTAGGTTAAAACTATCCCCTCCCAGTGACAAAAGCAATTGTTTTGGACAATTTTATGAATGTGGAAACCATTTAAATTATTTTAGTAATGGAATTAATTAGTTTCCAAAAACTTAAATTATTTACATTCCATCACATTTTTGCTGTATTTTCAAATTTGCCGTATTTTCAAATTTTTCCACTTTTTGTGTCAGTACAATTAATGGAAAACAAATATGCCTTGATATATGTAGATTATTAAAATTCTAAGATCATCTTGTGTACCACATTTTGGTAAAAATACTGATTTAAATTAGTTTTTACATCATGTCTTTTAATCCATCTTGGGATGGATTAGTCAAATTTTAATGCATCTAATTAATCTCTGAAAAAACTAATTGCCAAACGAGTTTTTTCTTATAGATTTCTGTGTTATGGTACAAATTACAGATTGGTTGTAGGGAGCTGTAAAGGAAAAGAAGAAACTAGCCTCAAAAATAATCAGGATTTATCAAAATATTGAATTTGTGACTCAAATTGTCATTTTCCAATTGAAGAAATTAGATGGCTTTTGTTTGTAAAACAATTTCTTAAACCTTTGATGTGAAAACAGACCAGTTTTAAAATACCTGGTGTTAAAACTTGGTTTAAACGTGAATTATTATTTTTTCTTCAAATTCCTGGTATTTTTGTAAGGTCTCATTAAAAATAAATTGAAAACACAGCCATTATGTAAATACTGAATTTTCTTTGTATCATAAGAATGTGACCTTAGAAATCTGTCTTAACCAGAAATCATGATTTAAAACTCCTTATAATTTTTTCTATCTTAGTATCTAGAAGGGAAGCTGGATACTCCATAGCTCAAGTGCTATGCTATCACACTTTTTTCCTTTTCACATAAACTAAAAAACTTGAAATTATAATGCATACCAAGTTTTAGCGAGGGCTCATTTCTTCTTTAATATGTAAGATAATTTTATAACCCTGAGGGTCCCTCATTTATTTCTCTACAACACAAAGATTCACTTAAAAGCTATTGAAATGCCTAGAAGAAAGATAATTTTTTCCCCTGGTAAAATAGATTTTTTTGTTTGCCTGGGGAGAATATTTTCGTAGAAATGTGAGGGTCATCCTGTTGAGTGTAAAAGATAGAAATGCATACTTAGGGGGGCCGGCCCCGTGGCATAGCAGTTAAGTGCGCATGCTCCGCTGCTGGCGGCCTGGGTTCCGATCCCGGGCGCGCACCGACGCTTGTCAGGCCATGCTGTGGCGGCGTCCCACACAAAGTGGAGGAAGATGGGCACGCATGTTAGCTCAAGGCCGGTCTTCCTCAGCAAAAAGAGGAGGATTGGCATGGATGTTAGCTCAGGGCTGATCTTCCTCACAAAATAAATAAATAAATAAATAAATAGAAATGCATACTTAGGAGTATATGACTTGCCAGTGAGGCTGGTGAGTTGAAGCATTCATTAACGTTTTTGCACCAGTAGTGCTTGGGATCAGGTTTTTATTGAGCAAACAGTTATTCTCTTCCACTTTTCAGGCACATGGTTGAAAGTACAGGCCCTTGAGCCAGACTGCCTAGATTCAAAGTCTGACTTGGCTCTGCCACTTCCAAGCTGTGTGATCTTAGGCAGGTTACCTTAATGTCATCATCTGTGAAATGGGGAGAATAATAGTACCTCCTCAAGGTGATTGTGAGAATTTAAATATTTTAAAGCAATAAAGTGCCTGGCACAAGGCCTGTATAAATACTTGCTATCATTACCACAACCACCACTTTCTGTGTCTGGCATAGAAATTTCATTCTGGTAGCTTTCGGTATTTCTGCAACATACACAGTATAAATGGAAAAAATGTTATAGCAACGTTATTCTTACCTGGAAATTACAGTAATCATAGTATGATCATAAACATCTAGAAGTAGGCGTGAACTATTTCCAACAAGCATTTGTGGAGGGCAGCTGGGTTGGAGGTCATGGGGATTATAGTGAAGGAAGATGCATTAACATCACATTTCAGGTCTTGCCCCATTCATTTATGTATGGCATAAATTCCAGGAGTCTGTTACTCTTCCATTTCTGTTCTCCCTTTATGCCAAGCACAGGGCCTGACATAGTAGAAATGATGGTCTACTTGTGAGTGAATGAGGAAGAGTAATTCTGGTTCAGACACTTATGTACTAACGACCAATAACTGTCAGAAACCTGGCACATCGCAAATCCTTTCAAAGAGGAATGAGAAGTATCCAGGCTGGTGGGGCTCAATGGAGGAGAGCTCCTCTTAGGAGAGCTTTTTGAAGGTATTAGAACCACAAAGGTACAGTTGTCAGCTTTTAAGTAGTGTAAATGAGCTGATTGGCACAGATGCTGTTTTCCCATGGGACTCTGGCGTTTTATTATTCTAATATTTGCCAAATGGTGAAAAAGTGGACATTAATTTGAACATTCCTTTTTATTTTTTATTGCTACTAGTATGAGTAGGAGATTTTTTCCCCTTTCTAGGAGGGAAATACCTCACATTCCAAGGCCTTGATCTGTTTGCGTTGTGGCTGTATATTCCAGAGGGTAGTCATTTTTACCCATGGCTCATTTTTGAGATGCTGTTGATTACAAACCTATGATTTCTGCCCCCCAGTTTAAGTTCTAGCAGGGCATCTGGCTGGAAGTGGCACATCTTGGTGTGAGTCCTGGTATGCTGGGAAGAACTATATGCGGTTTGTCTAAAGCCCTAGAAAAATAACTGGTTAGAGAAATAGCGCTAGGCTAGAAAACCAGAAGTTCTCTTGTAAAACAATAATATTCTATTGTAGAATAATAAATGAATGGCTATTTTTCTAACCAGTTATTTATGCTTTTTCCTGCTTGTTCATGTTGCAACATACTGTATTGTATAAGAGAAAATTTATATTGACTGTTCAGCAAGATAATAGGTGCATGTACGTAATCTTAATTATATAGGTTTTAATTCTGGGCTTTGCTGAAAGAGCACGACCTTGTGCTTGCTTCTTTCGTGCACTTTAAAAGGGAGACTGGGTGTTTCTGTCCCCTGTTCTGATTTGCCCCTTAATATCTCTGCTGCCTTCCAGGAATAGTTGCCATTGTTGCACATAAGCTTTCTCTTAAGGACAAAATAAGTAATTTCCAGTGAAATCGCTGCTCTTCCTGAGGGTGTCTCTCCATTTACTGCATTACTGCCAGGACTCCCTGGCTTTCGCTAATGGGTCCTGTACGTGTGGTCAATTTCTAAAGAGAAACCCTTGAGACCCTAAAAGCATTGAGGGGAAACGCATCTTAAACATGAGCAGAAAAGACTCATGAGCCAGGCTCTGTGGACCCAGGACTGGCAAGTTAATATTTCACCGGATATTTCAGGGGATGGCAGGGGGAGATGCACAGGGGAAGATGATCTTGCTCTGAGGCAGATTCTTGACTCTTGCCTAGAATCAAAAAGGAGGTTCTTCAGAGTGATTGTGGAACCCTAACAAGTTGTCCTTACGAAAGGAGAGGTTCAAAGATAAATTGTGCCTTCAGATTACTTTTCTTCTTGTATAACTGCTGTTGGGTTATAGTTAATAGTATATTTAAAGTATATTAGGGCCGGCCCCGTGGCTTAGCGGTTAAGTGCGTGCGCTCCGCTGCCGGCGGCCCGGGTTCGGATCCCGGGTGCGCACCGAGGCACCACTCCTCCAGCCATGCTGAGGCCGCGTCCCACATACAGCAACTAGAAGGATGTGCAGCTATGACAGACAACTATGTACTG